CGGATGCCGATTACAGTTTTACCAAGCCTTTTAATCCTAAACTGTATGCCTCCAGTTACTGTCCACCTCCTGTTCGATGTATAAGTGTCACCTCATCAGAGGTCGCCCGAGTGGTCGTTTACTTTCTCACGGATACTGCTCCCTAATGCGTGATTTTCATCGGCTTCAACAGGGCGAGCAACAGGCTCTGTTTGTCGAATTTTGCTTTTTCGCTTAGACGAAATGAAATTCTGCGCGACGCTCAACTGACGGAGATTCTGATTGCTCATGTAATGATAAAAAAACAGTTATTTTCGTTGAATCCACATACAATCTGATAATCTAAACAACTAGTGTTTATTCACGTTTGTGCTTTTTGTTATCGATGGAATAGGCAACTTTCCTCTCCCGTTGGTTCAGAATTCGTAGCCTCATTCAGGCGTTTTTGTATTCGCTTAACTGGTGATTTTTGCCAGTGTTTAAGAATTGCTTGGGTACCACTCAATAATCCGCTTGTCTCTTACTTTCCATGTTCCCCACTTGGCTAGTCCAAGTTTTCCTTCTCGCATATATTGGCCTAACAAAGTTAAGCACGAACTTAGTTCTTGAGAATTTGTAGATTTTGATGGCGATGATCAGCTTGGACACGATGATCTGAGTAAAATGATCCGTTGCCTGACCAGGGATGAATTGTCGGACGAGGAAGTTGAATTTATCATTGAAAGGGTAAGTGCTTTCCCCCTGCATTTCTGTTTGATCATAGCCAATGTAATTGTTAAGATTTGATCCCAAAATTCTGACTACGAAAAGCCCAGTCCCTGAGAAAGCACGGACTGATCTAGACCCAAAAAACAAGCAAAAATTAGGAAAAACTCAATCTCAAAAACTCAAAATAAAGCAGCACTGCGCAAAAAGATTCGTTTCCCATTCCAGCTAACAGCAGACTTTCCTGTTTTAGGTGATCGAGGAAGCAGATTTGGATGGCGACGAGCAAATATCGTATGCCGAATTTGAACATGTCGTCTCACGCTCCCCTGATTTCATTCGTACATTCCATATTCGGATATAGTTTTAGTTGATAATTGAATGTTATTACGAACTAGACATTTTTGTCCAACATGAAAAATAAATCGAAGTCGTTGTAAAAAATTATGATTTGGAAAAATCTTCTGTGAAAACTTAAAAATATATTATTTTTTCGCAGCAAAATCTGGATATAAAAATTTTTTACAGTATTTAATACACTGCAAAAAATTAACTCATTTTTAAGGACAAAGAAATTTCCCGGGTGACCGACTTTTGAGCAACAAAGAAGCCAATTTCGTCACTCATTTTGTGGAAAAAAAGTGACCGGCGTGGTAGAGTTTTGATGACAGCAACCACCGCGTTGTCTTCAGTCCGCTTCTTGAACAGTTCTCCTTTCCTGAGAACTACTTGAGAAGTAAACTGAAAACACTTCACTTCTTGCTCTGGTATGTTCAACCTGCGGCAACTGAAGCCACGCGATTTTGGGTAAAAAGCTAAAACTAAAGAAATAAAGCGAATATTACTATCACAGACAAAGCTTACCACCGGATAATGCGGTACTGATTAAAGCAACCGGAAAAGCCACCGGTTTCTGAAGCTGAGAACAAGACTATGGATTCCAGGCCTCCCGATTAGGTAGGCATATTCAAAGTCCAGGAAGACAGCACAGCCTAAATTTGACCCTTTCCACTTT